CAATGTCTCGCCAGAGCTCGAAGCACTACATGCTAACCGATCTGCATCTGCGTTATGTTCTCTCGGTAACTGTATGAATTCAATCTTTGCAAAGTCCTTGGCTTTATGCAGAACGGCAGAACGATATGCCTCCATCGTGTCATCCTTGGTCGCGTACTCACCATTTACCTGCCGAACAATCAATTATGAGTCACTATAAACAGTCAAACTTCTGACCTGTAGCTCTCTGGCCAACTTTAACCCATTCAGCAACGCCTCGTATTCCGCTTCATTATTGGTGGCTCGGAACTCAAGTCTGAGTGCTTAACTCAAAGAAGTACCCTCTGGGGTTTGCAGTTTAACCCCAATTCCTGCCCCCATCTGATTAGAGGAGCCATCTACATAAAGTTTCCAAGAGCCGCATCTAAGGTCTTCTTCCGTATCCTCAGAGTCACATTCTAGCAGGAAATCGGCTACCGCTTGTCCTTTGACAGCCGTTATTGGCTCATACGTTATGTCAAATGAGCTTAACTCTATGGCCCATTTTGTCATTCTGCCCGAGAGTTCTGGCTTGTGCATAAGCACTCTGATTGGAAAAGTTGTTAGGACAGCTATAGGGTGGGATTCGAAATAATGCCTCAACTTTCTTTTTGCGTTTACGAGTGAAAGTATCACCCGTTCAGCCTTCGAGTACCTTCGTTCTGCCTCGCTCATTGTCTTACTGACATAAAACACCGGGTGTTGCACCCCTTCCTTGCAACGAATCAGAACGGCACTTGTCGCAACACTAGATACTCCAAGATATAGATATAATTTCTCTTCTAGATCCGGGGCTGACAGGACTGGTGGATTCTGCATATATTCCTTCAAATGGGTTAATGCTTGTCGTTGCTCATCCCCCCAGACCTGTCTTCCATGACTCCGGATCGTGTCAAAGAACGGCTTGCTGCGGTCTGACAACTTAGAAATGAATCGACTTAATACAGCTATTCAACCTGTGAGGGCTTGTACTTCTTTGATCGTCTTTGGCTCGGCATTCTTAATCAAAGCCTCTGCTTGAGCAGGGCTAGCTTCGATGCCTCTGCGATTGACCACGTGTCCCAAAAATTGACCGGAACTCACACCGAATGAGCACTTGGTTGGATTGAGCCTCATCCCATATCGCCTCAGCACATCAAATACATCTTGCAGATGTTTCAGATGATCATCCTTCTTCCTACTCTTTACCACCATATCATCAATATAGGCTTCCACAATCTTCCCTATTTGATCCTTGAAAATTTTGCTAGCAAGCCTTTGATAAGTTGCTCCCGCGTTTTTCAGTCCGAAAGGCATAACTTTGTAACATTATGTCCCTCGCTCGGTAACAAAAGAAGTTTTTTCTTCATCTGCCGGGTCCATAGGGATCTGATTATAACCTGAATAAGCGTCTAGAAAGGTTAAACGCTCATACCCGGTGGTGGCATCCACCATTTGATCAATCTTAGGCAGCGGGAAGCTATCCTTTGGACAGGTTTTGTTCAAATTGGTGAAATCAATGCATACTCGCCATTTCCCATTCTTCTTCTGCACGACAACCACGTTGGACAACCAATCAGGATAGTGCACTTCTCTGATGAATCCCGCATCGAGCAGCCTATTAACCTCCTCGGCTATGATCTGGTTACGTTCTGGAGCAAACCTTCGTTGCTTCTGCTTTACTGGTTTGAAATTGGGATTGACATTCAAGGAATGATAGGATACAGAGGGATTACTTCCAGGCATGTCTAGGTGACTCCATGCAAATACATCGGCATTGTGAGACAAGAAGTCAATTAGCTCCTGCTGTTCTTCCCTGGTCAGTCTTACTCCTACTCTGGTAGTTTGCTCTGGCTTGGACTGATCGATCTGCACATCCAGAAGGGGTTCTTCGGTCAAGTCAACTGGCTCCTCCACCCTATTCTGCTTGGGTCGAGGTTCCTGTAATTACTATCTTGGGCTCGCCGAACGGATGGGCGCCTTCCCTTTCCCAGCATATTTTAGTGTGACGGAATAACACTCTTTGGCTGCAACCTGATCCCCGTGAATGTCTATCACCTTATTTCCATCGGGTCCGAGGCACCTCATGACCTGATGCAGAGTTGAGGGCACACCTTGGACTCTGTGAATCCATCCTCTTCCCATCAGGAGATTGTACTAGGGGTGAATCTCCACAACCACAAAAGTTTCCATAAGAGCTCGTTCTGTAGCTTGAACTTCTACTTCCACCATACCGATGGGCTCCACCCTCTTACCATCAAATCCTAACAGGGGATTTCCAGTGGGCTTGAGCCTCTCTGGCTTAATCTCGAGCCGATCAAATGTGTCCCTTGGCATGACATTCGCACTACTTCCGGGATCGATCAGAACTCTGCGCACCAAGCAGTTTGCCACTGTCAAGCTGACTACCAATGGATCTTCATGGGGGATTTGAACACGCAGCAGGTCTGTCCTGTCGAACTTTATCTGTATCAATGTGATCTGTTGGTGCAGAGTATTCACACTGTTGACCCTTTTCTTCATCTGCACCTGCCGTAGGCGCGTTCGGAGTAGCTCATCTGAGTCTTTGCTAGGCTCGGGTCGACCGTGAATAACATTGATTATACGAACTGGCTGTGAATTGTGGGAGCTTTGCTTCTGATTTCTTTTTACTTGCTCCATCGGTCGGTTCTGCTCTATCGCCGAGCCTTGGACATAACTCGCGAACTCCCCTCTAGCTATCAACATCTCCACTTGCCTTCTCAAATTCCTGCATTCGTTAGTCTGATGACCGAAATCGGAATGGAAAGCACAATGTTTAGTCTGATCCCTCTGTTCGAGGGGTTGCCTAATTGGCAGTGGTGGATGAAACTTATCTTTGTTCTCCTGATATAGCCTCGCCAGAGTGACCTTCAACGGATATGGCCAGAAGTGATATGGGCCGGATATAACCCGCGAACATGGCATCCGGTCGGAACAGCTGGGTCTAGCCCATAAAGAAATACTGCCATATGGGCCGAACGCGAATAGCCCATCGAAGATGACCAAAGCCCACAGAGGAACGGGCCCAGATCTAGCAACCCATTAATGTTTGTAAATACCTATAAATATGAGAAGTAACGGGGAGAGAGATTCATTCTGTTGAAGTGTAAGAATTCTAGAGAGAGAAAATAGAAATGAATTTCTTGCATCTTCAGATTCTAAGTGTTTTTTTTTTTTTTAGAAAAATAAAGATAATTTTATCAATGAATTCTAAGTTGTCGCCGCCGCCATTAAAAATGCTTAGTGTTGTGAAATTTTAAATACATTGGTAAATATATTTAAAATAATAAAATTTATGGCTGTTTTTAATTTTTTTTTTTTTTAAAGTTAAAAGGATTGGTAAATTTGATTTTTTTTTTTTTAAATAATTAGAATTTTATTATTAGTACTGTGGTATTTTTGCAGGGGCGTAAAAAAGGAAAAAAAAAAAAATAGAGAAGGATTTAGAAGGGAGCATAAAATATTGTTCTATTTTATTTGTAACACTCGGATTTGCATTCCAACTTGAAATTAAGGCAAATTATCTTATGAGTCAAAATTGTAAAGAGAGGTGTGTTTGATTTGTCTTCATCATCTTCTCCTTTTAGAAACCCTAGTTCTCTAATTTTTTATTTTTTATTTTTTCTTTCCTCCCTTCTTCCCTCTATGATAGCAGAAATTTTCCTCCTTTTCCCATCATGTTGTTCCATGTGTCCGCAATTCGTTTTCCCTTGTGAAAAATTCCTCCAAAAAAATTGAAATCGTCATTCACCATAATAATAATTGATTTTGATGGAGTATCGGTCCAGTTTTCAAAAACAGGCCTAATCTGCAGAAAATTGGCCGGTGAATTTTTATTCACATCAGGGTGACTCGGTGTCGGAACTCTAAATTTTTTATATGAATTGACCGGTTCAACAAACTATGATATATATATATATATATATATGAATAAATAGAGCATGTTATAACAAGACACAAAATTTTCTCACTAAATCAGAATTTTTTTCAAGCAAGAGGTGTATTGAACTTGTTACAATTTATTTCATTTGCAAACCACATCTAAGAATCATGAACAAAAAAAAAAATTAAAAAATAAAAAATTGAGGGGCAGTTTAACTTTTTCTATAAAAAAAAATCATAGTCAATAACTATAATTAAAATGGGCATTTTAGTCTTTTGAATCTATGAAGAAGAAACACTGACAATAAATGTGAGAGTGAAGCCGAGAGTTTAAGACAGATTATTTTGAAGGCATGAAGCACGCACACGACTGCAACACGGCATGAATGCGGCGACTTAGTAAATTTTGAAAAAATATAAGATATAGACATAAATACGGTTATGAAATAATATATATATATATATATATATATATATATATATATATTCAAAATCCACATACCATAAATCTAACCTCCTTAAAAAAATATTACAATAAAATAAATATTTCAATTAATCATCTAAACAATTACCAATAATTACCAATCAAATTGAGATTTATTATTATTATTAAATAAGTGATGGAATCTAAGAGGAAACCCACCAGTTGTTTGTTTTTTCTTCACTCTAAAAAAAAGATTAGATCCAGTGCAGTGCTTTTTTTTTTTTCCTAAGTTTCTAACTTTTTTTATTTGTATTTTTTAAAAAAATAAACGAATAGAAAGAAAATACATGTACGTATATATTTGTATGTGTGGGAGTTCAATTCCTTGCCAAAAAGAAAGAAAATGAATGTCAGCATTCACGCAAAGTAGAATTCCCAATCAGAGAAGCATGAGAAAATTGAAAGCTAAAAGAAGTAAAGAATTAATTCTCCATTCAGCTACGCAAAGTAAAATTCGGCTACAGAACATATACATACATATATATGGCAGTAGATAAAAACATATACAAATAAGCCCTTTAGATCCATCCAGGACAGGTCTGTCTTGGCTTGCTCAAACCAACCAACCCACAAGTCCTGACAAACATAAAGCTAGCTAAATTATAATAAATCAGAAATGGCCAATGAAGAACATTCAGAGCTTGAGAGGATTTTGGAGTTTCTTCAGAGAGAGATAGATGAAAACAGATCATGCAACACACAGTCTCTCGTGGCTGGCGAAGTGCCAGCGCCAAGGGTCCATGGCCTGTATGAGGTCCCCGATGTGCTTCTTGAACAAAACAGAGACGCCTATACTCCAAGCTGCGTATCTATTGGGCCTTTTTACAGGAGATGGTGGAGAGGAGCAGATCTAAACGAGATGGTGGCGGTGAAAAAGAGGTATATGTGTGAGCTTCTTGAGCGAAATGGAACATTTGGGGCAACACTAAGAGAATGTACGGAAGCTATGTTAAAGTTGAATTCCCTTGTTAAGGAATGCTATTCCAAACTTCATTTTTGCAGTAGGTATGGTGACTGGGATTATGTAGAGTTCATGGTGATTGATGGTTGCTTCATTATTGAACTTCTTTACAGGAAATACGTAGAGATGTCTGACCCAATTTTGCAGAACCATTTGAAGTACCATCAGGTCAGACGTGACCTGCTATTGCTCGAGAACCAGATCCCCTTCGTCGTTCTTGAAGAATTGTTCAGGCTGACAGTGGAACGAATCCCGGATAGTACTACTGCAGGGCGCCGCCCAGTCTCCCTCCGTAGATGTGTTCTTTCATTCTTTGGAGATATGATGGGACTAGAAAATATTGGTGTTGAAATAGAAAACCTGGAAAACAATTCCCCTTTTCACATACTCTATTTTTTACACATTTCCCACCAATCTCCTTTACAGAAGCCACCGATATTTTACAGACACATGGAAAAGCCTAGATTCAAATACAGTGCAACAAAACTCCATAGTATAGGAGTCAAGTTTTTGACACGTAATAAAGTAGGCCTGTTCGATCTGAAATTTACTACTCCTCGTCGCTGCTTTTGTTTGTGGAAAAGCACAAACAATGAATCCCACGTTTCTCTATCAATGAATTCACTGAAACATTCTTGCGAAACATCATTGCTTTAGAGTATACTTGTCCCGGTATTGACAGGTACTTCACATCGCATGCTCTTGCCATGAGTATCCTCATGGCCTCTGCCGAAGATGTTAAATTGCTGGAAGAAGCTGGAGTCATACGCAACCATTTGGATTCGGATGAAGCAGTGTTAGAACTCTTCAAGAATATTACCAGCAATGAAAGCATTGCAAGAAATCAAGACCTTCTTTACAAGGATATATGGAGATAGGTGATGGGTTTTTGCTCACCTTGGCGACTAGCTTTTGCTAATGTAACGACAAAAATGGCAGTAGCTGCTGTCATTATCCTGAATCTCATCACACTTTTGTCTTCCGTATACACTGTCCTTTCTTATTATCATAACAAGTAGGTATTTATATATGTTGACCTTGAACTATGTGTGTGTGCCTATTCCTTTGTTGCAATAAATCAATCTCGTTGTTTCATCTAGATCATCAGTAATAATTTGAATGTGCTTGTGAGAATGTGTGTAAGTCATTTAATCTATATGCTTGTCATTCAATCTATATGCTTGTCATTCATATAATCATATTAGAACCTTTATATATAATCTCTCTCTCTTTATTGTATGATTCTATCATTAGTGTTTGATATATTCCCCAATCACTGTCCTTTCAACTTTAATTGTCTGTTTATGAGCTGTTGAATTATCATTTGAAGTGTATTATCCATGTTAATTGACATGAGTAACACTAATTGGGCCACTCCTTTCTGGCAGTTGGTCAGACTGAAAGCTGTAAATTTGGGTTGAATGGAGTAATGACTTTGCGTCTAACACCAACATTAAGCCATGAATCATTCCAAATGTGAATTATTCCTTCCGTCAAAAACTCTCCAACCCAACCCTTTAGCAACCACCTCCCTTGCGGCCAATAAACTAGACCACGCCCACAAAGCTCGGCATCTTGGAGAAGCTTCAAGGTGTTGGCAAGGTAGCACACAATGCCGTTCCTTACACTGGTGGGCTTGGATCGAATGCCATAAAATGTGTCTTACCTGTCTTACCCTCATTGGACACCAATTGGTTTTTCAGATGAGATGGCACGGCCCAATCCAACACGAGGAAAGAGCTGTTTGGAAAGTATTTGTTTTTCAACAGCTCATAACCCAGCATGCAACTTCCAACTCTGTTCTGCCAAGAGAGGTAGATTAAACGCCTCAAAATTTCTAAACCCTTGCCCACGGTCCTTTGAAGAGCACAACACATCCCATTTGGTCCAGCGTAAACTTTTCTTAACCTCATTTCCACCCCACCAAAAATCACACACCAATTTGATATATATAGAGAATGGCTCCACACTCTCTTTGTTAGCTTAAAAACCGACATAGCATGGGTAGGAATTGCCAAAAAAAATAGATTTTATTTGCACTTATTTTCCGAGAGAACTTCTTCTTCAACCCTTGGTAGTCTATCACTCAACTTCTTCACATTGAAAGTTGTTCTCCCTCTTTAACCTTTCAATTATAGCCGGAAGTCCAAGATTATAGCTTTCTTTCATATGTTCCATATTAATCCCCAGTTGTGAACATAGACTTTGCCCCCAGAGAAGTACTTGAATTCGGCTAAAAACCACTATGTTATTCATGACCTGATTTATTCTTGTATTTCTACTGTCACACACATGGTTGTTAGTAATGGATGCTGTCATGGACTCATCAAACCTACCAATCAAGTAGAAAATTGCGAATTTTTATCTCCCAACTTTAATCAATCAACTCTAGATTTCTGTCTTCAGAAGAGTTCTTCCTCACTCCAGGGATCACACAGATGCTTCCTGTTTTTCTAAAGAACTGATTCCTTTTTTTAAAGAGGGTAGGATTTGTATTGAGTAGAAGGAAACTAAATGATGAGAGTCTGCTGCTGAAATATGAGCAAAACATACACTATCAAGCAATCCTCCTCTACCATTATCTCAAGTGAAAGGATAACCTTGAAACTTGAAAACCTAAATCCATGATCTAGTGTCCACCATTCTTCAGAAATTCCTCAGGCATGCATGGTTTGACGAGAGGGCTACACTCCCATAGGTTTCAACCTTCCGCTCTCTTCTTTCATTGATGCAAAATTTCATTGAAATCACCCATTACATGCATAAGTTTCAAGCTGTTGTATAACTGACTTTTCCATAAGGATGCAACAAAACACAAAACAGAAAAAGAAGACGAGGAAAGAGAACTACGGGATGACCAAGAAATAGAAATAAACTCCAAAGATTATGTGAATCAAAGAGCCTAGGAACAAAGAGACGCTAAACCAAAAGATGATGAACGAAAAGACCCTAATAACAGAAATACAAATTAGCAGATATAGAAAGCAAATGCTAAACCAACACTTCAAGGTAAACAAACTAACAAGAACCAAATGGCAGACACCAAAGGAAAGGAGCAGCCTAAGAGAGCAGGCTACAAACTGGAAATGAATTTGCCTTCTTTTTGTAATCATTGCATAATTTATCATTTATTTAGAAACAAAAATGTGCTCTTCCAATGACAATGAGTAATAGGTTAAATGGTGTTGATCTTTTTTCCTTCTAAATTAAGAGTGTTTGAGCCCATCTAGGACAAAATTGTGAGTGAGAGTGTTAGTGTGCTTGAACTTTTGGGAAAAATAAATACTACTTAAATAAATAATTGTGAGCTTCCAATGCTTACATGCCATGGCAAATGAGTTTAATCACTATTTTTTTTTTTTTTTTTTCAACAATGGTGGTCTGGGCACTCCATATATACTACATTATCAGGCATGTGCAATTTTCTTGTTCCATAAGTACCGTGCAATTACTTAAAAAAAAAAAAAAAAAATTTGGGGGAAGAAAATTCTCTCGAGAGCGGTAGAGCGTCATGTGATGTGCACTCGGAGATAGTAAGAATCACTCTATAGTGCATTACACAATAAGTACTAATAATGTGATCTCATACGTTTTTAGTGTACTCCAACAGCAAGGTACTTATAATATGATCTCACACGTTTTTAGTGTACTCCGACGACAAGTACACTAAGAGAATTTTAATCATTTGAAGCTCAATTAAGACTGCAAATAAACCAATCGAGCTGTTCACGAACAGCTCGAGACTCAGCTCGGGATCATTTGTTAACTAAATACGTTGAGCAATATTAAGTTCGGCTCGTGAAGCTCGTGAACAAGCTCGTTTATTTAAAATTAAGAGTTAAGTACAAAAAAAACCATTTACTATACAAAAAATGTACAATAAACACCCCTATTAAAAATTAAATACATATAAAACCCTGTAATGTTAACCTTTTGGGCGAATTGCCTCCTTTGAGAAAAATAAGTAAATAAATAAATAATTGTGCGCTTCCAATGCTTACATGCCATGGCAAATGAGTTTAATCACTATGTTTTTTCAACAATGGTGTTCTGGGCACTCCATATATACTTACATATATTATCGGGCATGTGCAGTTTTCTTGTTCCACAAGCGCCGTGCAATTACTTAAAATAAATAAATAAATAATAAAAAAAAATTGGGGGAAGAAAATTCTCTCCGGTACAGTGGGGCGTCATGTGCACTTGGGGCAATAAGAATCACTCTATAGCATTACACAATAAGTTCGGATAATGTTATCTCAAACGTTCTTAGTACACTAAGAGAATTTTAATCATTTGAAACTCAAGAGCTCGGGGCTCGGCTCGAGATCATTCGTTAATTAAACAAGCCGAACTTGAGCTCATTTTTCGGGCTCGCTTAGTAAAGTTTGAGCAATGTTAAGTTCGGCTTGTGAAGCTCGTTTACTTAAAATTAAGGGTTAAGGGCAAAAAAATTCTCTTACTATACAAAATAAAATGTACAATAAACAGCCCTATTAAAAATTAAATGCATATAAAACCCTATATTATTAATCGTTTGGGCGAATTTCCCCCTTTACATCAATTTTGACCAAATTTTTAATAAAAATTCCAAAATGCCCTCACTGATGAGGTAGGCAAGGAAAAAAAAAATTCCGTCTCTATCCATCTCTTTTGTTTGGCCTTTGGATTTATCGTATATAACTCTCTGTTTCTTTCGCCATTGCTACCTGCGGTTGAGGGTGACATCCTCGCCGGCGACATGCAGTAATAATTGAAAAAGAAAAAGCAGGATAGTAGTATGTAAAGTTAATGTGACAGTGTGACACTAAATATTTTCTTCTTTTTTATTTTTTATTTTTTTATTTTTTTATTTTTTGTCACCTGTGACACTAATTACTAATAAGAAATCTAATACATATTAATTAAAACAAATGTAGTTATTAGATTATATAAATTTGGCATATACTACTTTGTTATTCAATTAAATAAATAAATAATAATTAGACTAACAACCAAAGAAACAATTAATTGAATTAGCCATTAAAAAAAAAAAAATTAATTGAATTAGATGGAAAGAAAAAGTAAAAAAAGAAAAAAGAAAAACCAATGGCACACCAAAAATAGTCAACATAGATTACTAACACCATCGGAGCACAACCGTTAACCCCATAAAAAAATGAGAGATGGAAAAATTATACTCAATATATATTATGCCACGACATGGTGTTTCTTTTTTTTACTTTCTTGATAAGTACTTATAATATATTTCATAGAATATTGTGAAATATGTCTTTGAGTATGATTAATAACAAATTAATCTTCTTGCATGAAGACAAATAGGAAGTAGCCGGTATTGTCGAAATTTGAAAATCAAAGTTGTGGTACACTTTCTCGATCCATCAAATTATTCTTGATTTTTTTTTTTTTTTTTTCCGTCTTCTAACTTACACTATTAGATTTATTTTTTCTAATAATATTGAATATGTACACAGCAAATACACACAATTATTTATTGGTAGTACTAAATTTATTATTATTGGTTGGTTGTCATATACAAACTGTATTCGCGCACAATTATTTGTTAGTGGTGATAAATTAATAGTTATTAGTTAGTTGTCTTATGCACACAGTACATGCACACAATTATTTATTGATGATAAACACAATTATATTGTTGTGTGTTAAATTTTGGTTGAATGTATTACTTGTATAAATTGAAAACATTGTGTGAATATATTTTATATACTCATCGTCCTCCTTTATTTATTTATTTATTTATTTTGGTGAAACCTTGTGTAAAGGGCCTCAAATGTGAGAATTCACCCAGGGCTTCTCAAAATTTTGAGAGTCTCAGGGCAACCATGTATATAGGGTACCTTGGATAGTTCGGCAACGG